ATATTTTTGAAATAAGTAAAATCAAAATAATAATTCCCAAAATAACAATATTGAAATGGCACATCCACACTATGGGGGAGCATCAAAATAGCTCCAAATTACTTCAAAATAGCACGCCCATACTGACTGGAGCCTGCCTTGAACTTAGAGTCCCCAGAAGCACTCTAGGGAATGTACCAGGAGGGTGCACAGTTCCTGTGGCTGCTTGGTCAGGAAACAAGAAACATGGTTTCAGGGGCTCCTCTATACAGTCAAGTCTCTCACACCACTCCTCCCTGCCTATGCCTTCGCGGGACACCAAACCAATGCACCCTAGGAGTCCAGGCTGCCTTCGTAGGGCTTCACTCTTTTCCTCTGGACACACCGTCAGGGTTGAGGACATAGACATGCCCATGTGCATCATAGTCGACCCAGCCTACCTCTTGCTCCCCTGGCTCATGAAGGCCTACGAAGGCAGCCTGGACTCCACCAAAGAGAACTTCAAAACCAGGCTGAGCAGGTGCCGCGTGGTGGGTATGTGTGCATTTGGCCACTTGAAGGGAATGTTCAGGACTTTCCTCATCCACCTGGACCACAGTGAGCGAAACATCCCCTTCATGGTGGTGGCTTGCTATGTGCTCCACAACCTTTGTGAGAAAAAGGGGGAGACTTTCCTGCCAGGGTGGGGAGCAGAGGCTGAACAGCTGGCCAAGGCTTAAAAGCATCCAGACACCTGCGTAATTCAACAAGCACATCAAGGGGCAGCGCTCAGAGAGGCCTTGAGGAAGAATTTCAGCCAATGCTTGTTGTGAGACTCTCCCCGGGGCCTCTCCACAAGGGGTTCCTGCATTGCTCCTGTGTGCCTTTCCTCCTCCACCCCTCCCTTCTCACCTCCCCTGCAGAACAAATAAATACCATCTACATATTTAGTAGTAAAACACAGATTCACCAAGGGCAAGTCATGACTGACCAATATAAGCACTTTCTATGTTAAGATAACTGAAATAGCAGATATGGGGAAGTGAGGAGTGTGATATATGTTGACTTTAGCAAAGCTTTTAATAAAGTATCCCATGGTATTCTTGCCAGAAAGTTCAAGAATATGGCTTGGATGAATGGACTATAAGGTGGACAGAAAGCTGGCTAGATTGTCGGGCTCAACAAGTTGTGATCAATAGTTGAGGTCTAGTTGGCAGCTGGTACCAAGTGGAGTGCTCACAGAGGTGGTTCTGGGGCTAGATTTCTTCAATATCTTAATTAATTATCTGGACGATGAGATGAATTACATCCTCAGAAAATTCATAGATGACACGAAGCTGGGGGGAGACATAGATACTCGAAGGCAGAAACAGGGTTCAGAATGACAGGCAAATTGCAGGATTAGGCCAAAAGAAACATGATGAGGTTCAACAAGGACAATGGAAGAATCCCCATGAAACTATTACAGGCTGGGGGCTGACTGCAGTTCTGTAGAAAAGGACCTCAGGTTTACAGTGGATGAGAATCTGGATATTAGTCAATAATGTGCCTTTGTTACCAAGAAGGCTAATGGCATACTGGGCTGCATTAGTAGGAGCGCTGACAGCAGATTGAAGGCAGTGATTATTTCTCTCTCTTCAGCACTGGTGAGGCCACACATGGAGTAATGCATCCAATTTTGCCCCTTCTCCCAACAGAAAAGATGTGGACAGATTGTAGAGAGTCCAGCGGAGGGTAACAAAAATGATTGGGGGACTGAGGCACATGATTTATGAAGAGAGGCTGAGGGAACAGAGCTTATATAGTTTGCAGAAGAGAAGAATGAGGGGAGATTCCAAAGAAGATGGAGCTTGGGCGTTCTCAGTGATGGTAGATGACAGAAGGAGCAATGGTCTCAAGTTGCAGTTAGGGGAGGTCTGGGTCAGATATTAAGAAAAACTATTTCCCTAGGAGTGTAGAGGAAGCACTGGAACAGGTTGCCTAGGGAGGTGGTGGAATCTGCACCCTTAGATGTTTTTAAGGCCAGGCTTAACAAAACCATGGCTGGAATGATTTAATTGGGGTTGGAACTACTTTGAGCAAGAGGTTGGATTAGATGACCTCCTGAGGTCTCTTCCAACCCAATGATTCTACGAGTGACTTACTTTAGTTCCAGCTAGAAATCTGCAAGGGAGAATGAAATGTTAATGCTTTTACGTATATACAAAATTAACCACCAACTCCAATCTCCATCCTTAAATAGTTCAATAATGTATTTGTTCGGTATTTTGCTGTAGCCATGTTAGTCCTGGGATATTAGACACAAGGCAGGTGAGATAATATCTTTTATCTGCTGGTGAATGAGACAATCTTTCATGCTTACAAAGAGTTATTCTTCTGGTAATTTTCTTAATTCAGTAGTTTCAAATCCAATAAAAACTGACATGAAGATATACTTTTGGATTTCATGAACTTGAGTTCTTAATTCCACTTACCGCAATTAGGGAGTCTTCTGCATCTTAAATGAATTTCTTAATCTTTGTATAGTTCTCAACCATATTTTTGTCTGAAACTGTCAATCCATGAAGTGTGTGATTTCTACAAGACTTGTATGAACAAAATGTCTGTGTTTCTCTTACAGTACTTGCCAAGGAGAAAATGTTTAATATATCTAAGCAACAACATGTGTCAGCAGAACAGAAAAAATGCTTCATGGCAAAGTGAGTGCCAAGACAAACTCAGAAATGGTTTCTTGTTTAAAATCCTGAAAAAATTATTTTCCTACAGAAGCCACATGTGTGCATAAAAATTATTAATAGGTAGAAGCCATAAACAATTCCAATACCTGACAATTCAGCAAAAATGTCTATTTGACTTTCACTCTTCAAATACAAGACTGACCCTATCTATTCTACAGTCATCTTTAAAACACCACCACTATTTTGCTCTGTATTGAACACTTTGCTCTATATTGGGAAAGGGTGGGAAAAGGTACAGCTATCTATTGTACATTTCAGAGAGTTTGTCTAAGTGTCTCAGCTGTGGGACATGCACTCTTCCCCCTGCTGTTCCTGCTGCAGCTGCAACAACCAAGGACAGGCACTTCTCACTTGGCCCCAAGCTGCTGTGGTGAGAGAGGGTTGGAATGTCCACTCTCCCCAGCATGGCACCATGCATACTGAACCTCTCATCCCTAGCCCCACGCCAGAACAATTTAAATGATGAAAAAGAAAAGTTATGCGTTAAGGACCCAAGCAACGTTGGGTAAATCTTCTAGTAACGTATTTTTTAAAAAGAAAATACTAGACTACAGCACAAGCCTCCTGACAAAGACACAGAATAATTATGACTGAAGATGTCAGAAACTGATTAATTGAATAATCGTGTAACCGCATCAGATTTTTACCTGTCTGTCCAAACCCCTTCCCCCCACAAACATTACTTAGCCCTGGAAAATGGGTACAGATTACAAAGATTAGTTTAATTTAGTTGATGTCTGGAGCATGGAAGTGCAATTTTATAAATTAAAAAAAATAACTAGGGCAGCTCCCTGCTCGCTACACTCACCAAACGCCCTCTCGGGGGAGGGTAAGAAACCCCAGCTGTCCACCCAGCCACTAAAGCCAGGCTGCAGCTGCACCAGCCTGGGCCTTGTCTCGCCCTCCTCTGGGGCAAGCCACAATCCCCCCCACCTCATCCCCAGCCACAGAAGCCTTCCTCGCCCCAGTCAGCCCAGGCCCCTTATTGTACACACACATCACCACCCCCGGGCTGTCAGTGGGTGAAGCGTGGCTCCAGGGACAAGGCCTGGAGCAAAAGGGGCAGGACTAGGGTTGGTGCTTTACTCATATGTGCCTACCCCCCAGCCTGTGGACTCTGTGACATGATGACGTCACTATCATCCCACAGAAAAATGTTTTTTTTACATATATAGAGAAATTATGCTAAAGAGCTCAAAAGATACATAGGTGCTATCACTAATAGTCAAACAACTGTTATGATTAGTTAAAACTAAACAACAAACCCACAGGATTAAGTCCTAAGAATACAGAGAAAAGTTTGTTAATATAAAAATAAAACAAGAAATCATTATTAAATTAAAAAGGAATATTGACTACCTTTTTTAATGCACTGGCACTGATTCCAGATTCTGTTAACTGTCACACAAAAGACCCAAGCCTACCTTTACCGTATCATTGTAACTTCCAACTTTACCCAACAACTGACACACTGATGAGGTATCAGGTAGAAAAAGTCAATTATTTGCCCCTTCAAAATATTTTACATTTCAAGTGGTAAGATAAAGACTCACACAAGCAAGTCCTGCAAAGCAATTCCACTACATACCAGCACTGAAGTAATGCTTAAGAACACATAGCATTACAGGACTGCAAGTGCCATCTGAATGGATGATGCCAGTAGCCCAAAATCTCTTCTCACTGATTTTTTAAAGTGGGCACACTGTATAGTGAATTGCAGGTTAACTCGAGAGCAAATTTATAACTTCCCAGCTATTAAATAATCAATTTATTATTATTGTACAAATCAGACATTTCCAGAACATATTTAAATTACATTTTCAAAATCAGGTTAACAGACGATAGGGATAGGAGAGACATGATAGGATAGCTTTAATTGTCTAGCATCTAGTATTGGATTGCCACCTAAATAATGGTTTGGCAGCCTGAGCTCCAGCCCAATCCACAACATTCACACTGCTAGTATTAAGTACACGGGCCCAAGCTCCATCAACGTGAATCTGTCTACCTAGATGGGAAGGCTCACTTCCAGCCATAGCACAGACATTGAGGTCAATGGGCAGGACTGTCATTTCAAATGATAGACATATACAGAAAAAGAAAAAAAAAAAAGCAACCATGAATCCTTTTGATGAAAGGAAAGGAAATAATTCTAAAAAACAATTAAATGCTAGAATATTAAACTAGGAAGTTTTTTAAAAAGATTGATAAAATACCCAATGATTTCACTACAGTTATACTATGAAAAGGTTAGGCTGCATTAAAACTATTTATTATTTCTTCCAGCGATATCATTTAACTTACTGTATTGGTTGAATCTTCTTGTAAAATTCTGTCATATAGCTGGATGGCATCATCATACCTATATACAGATACCAATAGAAATAGAGGTAAATTTGAGAAAATGCTGATTTGATTGAATTATTTGGTTAAAAAAATTTATGATTGACTCCATACTTACGTAACAGCCTTGTTGCATTTTCTATACTTAGTATTAAGATGATCTTATCTAGCTGCCATGAAACATGTACCAGTCCCTGAATTTTACTGTCCTTACACAGTTACTCAAGCAAAATTCCTGTCAAGGAAGTCTTGAGGAGGACTACGGCACCTGGACCAGAGGTGGTGTGAATAAAGTGAATAGTAAACTATTATTTACTCCTCCACATAAGATAAGGAACTAGGTAGCAGTTTAAAAAATACCCTATGAAATTAACAGGTAGGAGTTTAAAAAATACCACAGAAGGAAGTACTACTTCACAAAACAACCAACCAAATGATAAAACTCATTGTGAGTGGATGTTGTGAAGGCCAAAAGTTTAGGTTCAAAAAAAGAATGAGAAGTTCCTGCAGTACAGGTCCATCAAGGACTATTAGCCAAGACTGTCAGGGACAACCCTATACTCCACATATCCATAAAACTAACTGCCAAAAGGATTTGGCACTGGCCACTGTTAAGACAGAATACAATAGTCTGGCCAACCATACCCTCGTTTACATACCTATAGTAAGAGTTCATTTGTCGAAGGCATGGACCAACATCTCTAGTTGAATCATACAAATTTGAAGAGAAACACGTAAAAGTAGGCAGAGCTGACCTTCACACTTTTCAGCAGGCTTGAAAAATAATTACCACCACCCATTCCCTAACCATACAGATTCCAGTTCATGAAACCAATGTGTGTAAGCCAGAGCTAACAATTATGGGGAAAGATTAGCAAAACACCTCAAATTAACTTATTTTGCAGAAGAGTGGATGTAAAATTGGTCTTGCTTAGGTGCTTTAGCCTCCTGCTGCCACGGGAGAGCCCAGCATTCCATTCATTTCAATCCAAACAATAGGCTTCATATCAATTTACAGTTTCAAAATATTTGCAAGGAAAAGGATGGCAAACATCTATTCAATGAAAATGGGCTTTTTCCCTTTTACATGACCAATATCCTGGAATCAGCGTGGCCCACATGCTCTACCCCTCAAAAGCCAACACAGTGAGCCGAGTGTTGCAGGAAATAGTTCATGCTAGATATAGAAGCCAAAATTTGCAAAATTGCTAGCTGCCACACCACAAGTAAATTATTTTGGAACAAGATACCAGAATTTGATATACAATGTTTCCAAATGTGAAAATCAGGCAAAGACTAGAGGTGCCCTAGACAGAGCCTACTCCTAGGGTCACCCTTGCGAGAAAAGTTCTATATTATGGACACTGAGCCAATTTGTAAGTTATCTGAACAATCCTATATAAAATGTAAGAGTAATAGTCCTTCAGTAGGCTAGAGCAAAAGCACCGAGAAGGGTTAGTTTTTTATTTTACATTTTATAATGTTTCTGGAATCCTTTCTAAAAATCCTATTAGGGCTTTTCCCATAAGGACAAAGCTTGGGAAAAGAGTTATATTCATCAGTTATTTGGGCAGGGCAAGGGTTTTGAATGGTATTTGAAATTCTGGACCAGGTGAATTAAATGTTGGTTTATAGATGAGGCATGGATTTGTGTTGCCAAAACCTGTGCAGTGTTTTACTGTCTACAATCTGAGGAAGGCAAGTAAAGGACCTTCTAAATCTATCAAGTCCAAATGGAAGATTACAATACTTAACAGTATTTGCAGATCCAGACTAACCCCTCTGATACTTAATACTTGTAATGTTGTGCTAGCCAAAAAACAACAGAAACACCTAAGCACAGTAAGCTCATCATAAACCATATTCGTTTTATAAAAAGGAAAGAACACTGAATTCATTCCCTCTGCTCCAAGTGTTACTGTCAGAAGAACTGCTTTTAAAAAAAGATAACTACCTTTTTCAGACACAAATTAGGTTTTTAAATTCAGCCATTACCTTTCCATGTATTCAAATCGCATGCCAGTTAATCGCTTAACTCTGTGGCTTCCAGGGAACTGTCGTCTTAGCTCTTGAAGACAAAACTAAATAAATAAAATAAATTCCTCTGAGTTAGTGATTTAACTTTTAGTGACAATCATTACTTATCAAATTAAAAGAAAAATCAGAAGACATATTTGTCACCAGCACTTCCTACCATAACCAGAGGAGAATCACAGCAATGCCTGGAGAAAGTCTCCTAATTTCTGGTCCTGTGATGCCAAAAGGATTCCAGAATATATATAAAAGCCACAGACTCCAAGCGGAGAAAGATCCAGCCATTTACAAAAAATATATATTGTTTTCAGAGTTTAAAAGTTTAGAGTCTATGAGTAGAGCCCGGCAAATCCATGGATATTAGGGATGTAAAATCCCGTTTAATTGATTAACTGGTTGAACATGTTATTTAACTGGTTAATTGATTGAAGGAGGATGAGTGGGGACAGCCTGGCCAGAACAATCCCTTCCTGCAGCGCCTTCCCCCTCCCCCCCGCGTGCAGGGCACCTGGCCGACAGAGATTGTTCTGGCTGGGATGGAGAAGCCCATGCCTGCAGCAGGTCAGGGCACCCCACGGGGCAGAGCACCCCACAGGCCAGAGCTGCAGTGATGTCCCAGTCAGAGCAGCTCCTCCCTGCTGGGTGCCCAGGCCCATCGCAGGAAGAGGCTTCTCCAGACTTTATATATGTGGGTATCTGTATCTTTGGTTTTGGATGTGGATATCCATGGCTCATTTTAGTGGATACTAATTTTGTATTTGTGCAGGGTTCTACCAATAAATCCAAACCGTCTCCATTCCTGAGGTGTCTGTAACTCTGGGATTCTACTGTATTGTTAATTTCCTTTCATCTTCTATATTAGATATTACTGTAAGTCTGAGATTATAATTTTAAGTTTGTGAGGAAACCTAAAAAAATATTCTTAGTCCAGTAGGCTGCAAGGCAGTAATTAAACTAACCAATGTGGTCTCTTATGGATGGATGTATTTTTGAAGTGCAGTGTCTGTTAAAATAATCACATCAAGCCCCATTTTCAAAAGATCTACTTAAGAAACAACAGATTCTGCAGGGCCTGAGCACTTCTGGAAATCTGGCTAGTTTAGTGTAACCCTGATCATAGTTTTCTTCATTTATTATCCCATAATTCTAATGTTGTCTTGGTCAAAGGTTCTATGAATGTTGGGCATTGAATAGTCCATGATGTTCTAACCCAGTGGATTTTGTTTTGCCTTTGTGACTGCTGTGGTGGTGATACATTTAAGTTCTGATTCTGCAGTTGGATCTGTGTTTCACTAAATCTGTTTGTTTACATTTACTTCAGGCAGGCTAGCTGTATATGTAGGAATCTATCATGCATGGATCCAGTTGTAAAGTGGAAGAGCCATAGTTTGTCTGCTAAATCTATTGTGCTTTTAAAAAAAAAACCTACTGCACAAGTGCGGAGCATATTTCTATATTGAAGATACAGAATATCCAGATAACACTGGACTATATGGTAGATTTATGGCCTATAAAATTTCAATTTAAAAATGCAAATTCTTTTCTGATGATTAAAGTAAGGATGAAATCATTCATTAGTTTTATTTACATTTTCCCTTAAAGACACTAAAACAGCATTTCAAGCAATTACAAAAAATTACTGCCAAATAGTTGTGGCTTTATATGATAAATTGTTGTTCAGAGCAACAATTCTTGTCTTGGGCATTCACTCTGAGTGCTAGTAAACCATTTTTCTAAGTCTGGAGTCACGTTACATGAAATTGCACCATTGCAGTCTGGGCTCATTGGATACTAACACGATCATGTTTTCTAGCTCTGGATGATTCGGTTCAATGATGTTTCTTTGTGTTGCTTGCAACCGGGAGGGATTGGAATGAGTCTGTGTGCGCTACATTAGCACTACACTCTATTTGGCTGCCTGAAAGAACAGGGAGGGAAACTGATGGCTTTGGTCAGTTCCTTCTTTCTCCTCTGAGCTTTCCATAAGATGAGGCAGGGTGAGAAGAATTAATTATACACACAGCTCCACCAGAGCTAAGGATGTGAAGAAAATGTTTAAACATTTTAAAAAGGGGGGTGTGAGTTTCTAATAGAAATTTTGGCCTGATTCACTCCTTCATGATTGGAGAATCTGGAGTCCTAGCCATTCACAATTTACTTATGGTAAAGCAGGGCTACTCAACACGTGGCCCGTGGGCTGCATGAGATCCGCAGCCTGTTTGTTTGTGGCCCACAGTGCAGTTTGGGTTGACGCAAGGACTCAAAACACGGCCCACAGGTGGCAGCCAAGATAGAAAAGTAGTCAATATAACGGCCTCCTGTTGATATGTGTTTTAGTAGTTAAATTCCTGAGCTGTCATTACTCGTCAAAAGTGCTGTCAAATACTGCATTGTATTAATATCAGCAGAAATGAATTAACTGGGGCCTGCATGTTGTGTAGCCTTGCCTTAATCTTTATATTTATACCCGCCAGCGTGAAAGAAGCTATTTGCATATATATATGCAACCACACTTAAGTAGCGGCCCTCAGCATGTGCTGAGTATCATTGTGGTTCCTGGGCCTTCCAAAGTTGAGTAGCCCTGCTCTAAAGTTTTAGATTGTTTTGCTTTTGAATACAGCTGCTCAACAACAAAATCTAAATTTGTAAATTATGCTCTCACGGTCATGAGTGCACACCACTGTAACTGTATGAGATGAACCGAAAAATACTATTTATTTTGTTTATAGAGCATATACATGTAATAAAAATAATGTAAAGTGAGCACTGTATACTTCGTATTCTGTATTGTAACTGAAACCAATATATTTGAAATGCAAAAAAAATCCAAAACGTTTAATAAATTTATTATTAAAATTGGTACTTCATTTTTTATAGTACTGATTAATCACTATTTTTTGTGAGTTAATTGCAATTAACGAACTACAATTACAAATAATCTGTCTTCAGGCCTCTTATATGATATGCTGGAGGAATAATCAGTCCAATAACAACACAACAATTTTAAGAAGTCTTAGCTAAAAACTTCAATTTCTCCCCTGTGTCTAAGTAGCAGGCTTAAAAACAAATGGTTGAATGAGCTATCCAAAAGGCTTTTTACACTTTAGAGACCAACGTTTCCCTGTAACAAATTAAAATATAAAAAGGCTCCTTTACTGTACTAACAAAGCTATTCACAAGAATGTTGATCTATTTCAAGAGTATATGGAAGTATTCTGAAAAAGCATTTTTCTACTGCTGACTAACTTCTATGGCAGAAATGCAGTAACTTGAAGAAGTCTTTAATTACAAAGGCATTGTTTTTTAGTTTTAATATACAGGCAGTCCCCGGGTTATGTACAAGATAGGGACTGTAGGTTTGTTCTTAAGTTGAATTTGTATGTAAGTCGGAACTGGTACATATTGTAGGGGAAACTCTAGCCAAACATTTCTCCAGAGCTCAGTTTTATTCTCCCACACCTCACTACCCTCAGTCCTTTATTCTCAAGCTGAGGTGTCTGCTGAGAAAAGCCGCTCCACCTCTCCCTGGTCTGTATCTCTGGTCTGCTGGGGGGAAGCAGCTAGTGCGGGGTTGCCTCACCCCGTTTGTAAGTAGGGATCCGATGTAAGTCGGATCCATGTAACCCGGGGACTGCCTGTATCCAATATTTGTTAAACCATGTTTCCACCTTATTACCAGTCATTTTACATGGGTTTTATGCTGTTCTCTCTGGAGCCAATAGAAGCCCTCCCCAATTTTAACAGTGTATTATCAAGTGTCATGTAACTATCAGGTCCTCTCCTTTCTTCTCGCAGGACGACTGTAGCGTGCTTTCAGGGAGGTAAAAAATGATGTCACACCAGGCTGTAACTTCAGCTCCTGCTTTTCCTCCTCAGGATTTATGGGGAGGAGGGAATACAAGAATACTACATTTGTAATTTTTTTTTTTAAAAAAAGCATATTTAAGTTTATGATTTTCTTTATATATCATAAAGTAGTAATAAAGGATATGGCCAAAATATTTGCTTTAATATTCATCTAAAAACACAGCAAGCAGCTGAATCACACATATTGGCTTTCTAAATGCCTTGAACAAGCACTGGGCTGCGTGCCTCTTGTTAAATGCTAGCAGTTATCATGCATTTAAATTCACATATACGGCACTGACACTTATCTGTAAATGTTCGAGAAAGTGATAAAAATTTGAGAGAGTTTACAACAAATATTCTCTAGACATTATGGCAGTTTTAATATTATTCCTGATATTCAGCCCATATCAGAGTAGTTAGAAATATTTTCATAGCTAGAAAAAACATGACCTCCCTAAATAAGAATTACACATTAAGGTGGGTGAAGGAACTTTCTCCCCACTAGTACATTTGAGAGCCTACAAGTCCAGGCTACATACTTCCTAGTATCCAATAAAACCGTCCAAAGGACTGATATGGAATAGATTCATGGGGGGCGGGGGAGGAGGAATTAAAAAAACCTTAAGGTTTGATGAAAAATCAGCTTGACAACTTACCAATGCCAAGTCATCCCGACTACAGTCCAGAGCAGCAATCATCACTTGTTCATATATTATCCAAACTAGACACAAGAGAGACATATTAAATATGGAGAACTGATTTTTCATAATGATGAGAAACACCGAAAATGTATGTAAGATTAATGAATTCCATCTTTGTATACTTTTCCCTGTCACTCCTGCACATCATTACTGACACAGAGACATTCAATGCACTACTGTAATTAATTAAAAGCACACTTGTGCATTTTTTATTGATTCGGTAACAAAGTATCTTTTCACATCTTGAAAGGCAAAAAGTTCTAATTCTTTGCTTTTCTTAACATTGATCTACAGTTTTTTGTTGAAACAGACCCATCATGCAATGCTCTGTGACCAGATCTGGAGAGCAGCCATATATGCTAGAAAGAAAACAACTTTTCCCCTAACTCCTCGTCGCTTTTCCCCTAACTGTTTCACTTCCATATTATGAGTGCAATACTGCCTTATTCCCTTGACTTCAAAAATTAGCTTATTCCACAACACACATTATCATATTAGGACGATGTGTACAGGGCAACTGAAAGTGAGGCCCCATTGTTCTATGCACTGTACAGAGAAAGAAACAGTCCCTGTAAGGAACAGCCTGGAATAGCCAATGCCACGGATGCCCAGATAATTTGTGGAAAAACAAATTAACCTTTTTTATAGAAACTGTATAAGAAAAAACACAAATCTAAACAATAAAGTTAACCTTTTCTCTTACCAGAATAAAGGGTACTGCTCACTGTACAGGTATTTTTAATACAATTCAAAGAAAAATTACAATTTACATTTTTTTCTAAGTTACCACAACAAAAATTAGATTTCATTGAAACACAAACAGATCAGGGCTTCTCTAGTCTGGTGTCTTGTCTCTAGTAGTGGCTAGCTCCAGAAGATTAGCATAAGAACCCCAGTAGTGGGCAGTTATACAATAACCTGCCTCCATGGAAAGCCAAGGGCTTTTTAAAGTCACATTCAACAGGATTCAGATTTTCTGACCATCCATATAGTTCAGTCCTTCTTTCACCAAATGTTAAACAGTCAACAGCTATTGCTAAGTTCTGCAAGACCATAGTGTGTTCTTTTAAAGAGATGTTTCTTTTTATAAATTTGAAAGTGGTTTCCTTTCAGTTTTATTGGATATAATCTGTATGATGGAACACTGTAAACAGAGATACCCAATTTACTTTCTCTGTAGCATTCATTAATTTCTATTTTACATAAGTTCACAGTGCCTTCCAGCAGTCACATCTAACACCTGTCACATGTGATTCATTCTCTCTCTCTCTCCCCCTCCCTTTTCCTCCCAGGGGAGTTGGTGGGAAAATTTTGTGTATAGCATCATCTTTGAATATTTGTTGCTTTATTTTATAGTTTTGCAATTTTCTATTGTGTTCTTATCTGTCTCTTTTCAAAACCAAAAAGCCCAATCTTTCAGTTATTCAGTCCAGACTACATACTTGCTCTGAAAATGATAAAGACTGGACTGGCCTGCAACACAGAAGGCAATGGAATGGCCTACTGTGCAAAAGGCTCTGGTAAAGACAGTGGGTGGCAATTCCCATATAGGCAGAGCATTCCACAAACTTAGGACCCTCCCATTAAAAAAAAAAAAAACAGCTTTCCTCTTAAGTGATTAACAAGATCATAAGACATTAAACTAATCCACGGTTTTATTATTTAAAGAGACAACAATGGCAATCGCTCTCTTTGTTAGTCTCTGTATTAGTTTCACTATCAAATCCACACATACAGTCTGGGATTCTGGAACACTCTGTACAGTGAGTATGCAGACACCCATTGAACCAAACTATAAACCCCGTATATAATGAACACTACTTCAAAGCAGGGACTGCAGCAGCACCCCTAATTCCAGCACTTATGCATGCAGTCCTACACTGCATTTATAATAGTTGCAGGAGGGAGGCAGCATATGCAAGACTCTTATTAGATTCTTAAAAGACTCTTCATACCAAGAAGATTGAACTGTAATATACATAGGGTATGCTGTTTGTATAGATTATCCATATAATTATTTTAAAAGGACATACTATTTGAAACAGTTAGGATTTTAAATCCCTCTCGCTGAAAGAATACTGACAAAAATCCAGATGCAAGCATTGCAAAAACAAAAACAAACAAAACCCCTGGAGGAAATAGCATGGTACAGGTAGCCAGCCACCTTTATAATTTCTGGGAATATCTAAAGTTGAAAGATTTCTGGTAAAATATTATGAAAATGAGTGCAAGAGTTAACCCATGATATATATTTGCCAGATATTTAATCACTGGTCTTCTAAATAAATAATTTAATGAAATTAAACAGGGACTTGTTTAAAGCTCCTCAGACTTCAACTAAAAATATATACAGCTGCTCCCCGAGTTACGACCACCTCCACTTACGACCATCCGCACTTATGACCAAAGCGGTTGTAAATACAGAACCGAGTTACGAACAGCGATCCGCACTTACGAACAGTGCGGTCGACATGTAAATCTATGGGATCCGAGTTATGAACACTTGGAGTTACAGACCAAGTGTTGGTCCGTAACTTGTTTGTAACTCGGAGAGCGGCTGTACTTTATCACTATGGCTGCAAATATCTAATAGCAACTGTACAAGAATGGCTGGGAAATGAAAACATTAAAAGATGTATTGCTTGTATTAGATTAACCAAATTATAAAAAGGCAAGCCAAAGAAAGAGGAATGAATATTAAAAACAAACCAGGAATATTTATCCATTCCTAATTGTATGGGATTCATATGCAAATCTATAAAGTACTAGCCAATTAGCCCGTCATAAGATTGGATTTTCAGGTCTCTCCTCCACCTCTTCTCTCCTGAGCCTCCAGTCTCTCGCTCTGTCTCTCTTTCTCTCTCTCTCCTCCTCCTACTGCCTCCCCTCTCTCTCAGCTCTCCTCCGCCTTCTTCCTCTCTCTTCCCATCTCTCTCTCTTTCTCTTCTCCCCCTCCTGCTTCTCACTCTTTCTCCGCTCTCCTCTGTCTCCATCGCAGATGCACGCTCGTCCATGCCCCGCTCCCATACCATGTACGTCACTGCCCCGCCCCCCTTTCCCTCCCGCCATGGCGCTCGGCTGACCTCTGCACCACTCAGCTGGGCTGCCGCGGGGGAGCCCAAACGGCTACTTGCTCTGCTTG